AACCATTCACTAATATCCACTCTTTTGTTTACAAAATATGCTTTGTCAACATATTTACATTTTGATACCTTGAAGAAATAGCAATTATAATAGTAAGAAATTAAATTATGAAGGGGACACATAAATTGCACTATCTAATAAAGAACAATGTCAACTGTTTTATCTGTCTTGGCAAATGAAGTATTAGTAGATACTCTTCAGGCAATACAGGTATAAAAATCAATTATAGTTAACCTTATAGAAGCCGCTGCGACAAGCTCGTCGTCCTTCTCCAAAATAATGGTATAAAAGCCTCCAAAGTTCAGCCGTCTAATGTTTGACCTGAGAATATGTAAAACATATGAAAGATCTATTACACTTGGTCTGCAATAAAAATACATTTATTTAGACTGTCTGTAATAAAATTCATACATACAGATTACTCTTTTTTCCTTGGAAAGTATAACAAATACAATTGCCATAGCTGTTCAGTGCATATGACACTTTTATCCCTCTGCATAACAAGAAATCCTCTCCTCTCCTCTATCTCTCTTCAAGCCCCCCCCCCCCCCCCCCCCTCAACTCTTCCTCCACAACTACTTCCTTCTCGAAGACCTGCTTTTCAGCATTGTTCAAAGCCATCGTCGTTGACCTCAAAACCCTCCCCACCATCATGGTGACGCGATTTAACCCATCAAAAGACTCCTCGTTTTCATTACCAGGTGAATTATTCTCTACCCTTTTTCTTTTTTTCTCAATGGGTTCTTTATTTAGATCAAGTAAATCATCATCCTCCATTGCTCCTTCTACAGATACCTCACTTAAACTCAAATCATCTTCCATCTCGCCCATAAACTATTAACCTGCCCAAAAGGAGGAAAAAAGCACTCATGAAATTACATTAAAAATTTAAAATCACAAAGAAGATGAACAAAAAGGTCTGAAAAATAACGAAAATATCTTACCAGCTACGTATCGCAAAAATTGAAGCCGGTGATCCGAACAGGACAGCTGTCTCTATAGATTTTGGGGGTTTGCGCCTGAGTGGGAGAAAGAGGTGAAGAAAGAGAAACTCTCCATTAGTTGTAAGGATTGGGAGAGGGCTTTATTTTGTACAGTGTGCGATTGACTTGCTTGGTTCGTAATTTAGAAGGGCAGACGTTCAAGGGTAAAACTGTGAATTCACAATCGTTTGTTTTAGCTAAATTTTTTCCCTCCATTACTTGAGTGTTTATTTTATTAAGAAATTTGAATTTTAGAAGATGGTATTTGAGAATACAAGTATTTTCGCAAAGTATTTGTTTCATAACCGGTCAATTTTTCAGAGTACACGAAGGTGTCTAGTCGAATCTTTTATCAAGCAAGTCTAGCAAGTTCGAACCTACTCATTCAAATTGACGATTCTAACATCTTAAATGTTTGAATTTGGAGAAAGTAATATATAAGTACAACTTATGGAAAGTAAAACTAACAATTAAACTTGAGTTCGACGTAAAATTATCTTCTCTTTTCTTCTCTTGGATGAATAAGATATTCGTATGAAGAAATCCCACAAGTCTTTCGAATTTTCATTGTGCTATATGGTTTGCTCATACATATAAAGATAAGCTTTCACGTATATTGTCGATTGTTTTAAAACATAACTCAAAAGCGAAGAACGAATTATGAACAGTGGATATTGATTTGCTTCCATTGTTTCCAAAAGATGAACATCATCTTAGAAAGCAAAGAGGTTAAATAAACATATTTTCGCATCATGTTAAATAATCCACCATATCCAACAATTTAAATGACGCATGGGCTTTGCGTTTAGAGAGGTACGCGTGGCAATTTCATTCTCAATTTCTATGGTACAAGGAACGTCCACGAGTCAAATGACTTGGAGCATATCCATGACATTTTTATAGTAGTCATATGGGGTCTTCAAGTACAAAGTGAACTTGAGTGCTAAACAAACGGTCGTGCTTGATTGTCTCACAGGCCCTCCACCGATAGAGGGTGCCACTGGATGGCCAGGCCATCTATCTTTATCCCTAATCAAATAATCCTTACCTATTCTCGCAATTGATAAATGACCATTATCGTAATGAAGTTTTTATTAAATTCGTATAACACGATATTTTTTTCGACGGGGATGATCATACCAATGATCTTTAATACTTTATGTATGATCGAGTTATTTAATAGTGCTTTTCATGTGTTACCACGTTAAAATATTGAAGCAATATATGATATATATGCATTTTCATATATTGTTAATGATGAAATATGTATACAATTAGAATATTGACATACTCAGATTAGAATAATTCTAAATATGCTTGCAATGGTAGTTAATTTTCCATAGGCTTGTGAATTGTGATGGTAATTAATTTGTTTTATTTCTTCAGCGAGTATGTAAAATTAGGATTATGTCATTTGTTCATAAAAGAATATCTAGAAAGTGTGCCGAAAAATGATGTGTAGTGAAATGACTGGATGAAAAAATTGATCGTATTTAAATTAGGGAAGTATTACATATACTTAATTGTCTACATAATGATGTCCATAATTACATGTGGCACTGGATTCAACTTTTAATTCAAATCTCACACTTTCACATCAACAACCGGATGATTGTCACATCACATTATAAAAAACATTACGTGTAATAATTATATACATGTAAACTTTTCCTTTAAACTATTCAATGATAGAGAGTCTCAAAGTCATGTGACATTATGTAATTC